GGAATCAGCCCGACAACGGCATTTTCCCAGCCTTGATCTCATCAGCATAACAGTGTCATTCAAATGCATAGGTGCTAATCCAATCAGTATAACTACTCAAAGACTGGGGCAGAGGCACCAAGAGCCATTACAAACAAAAGGTGATAATCTCAGTAATCTGGTTCATTTGACTAACAATAAGAGAACAGGAACAGACAGGAACCTCTTGCTACAAACTTTGCTTAAGAGAATCATTTGTCTGATGTAATTTACCTTAAATGCTAAATACAATGTACTTCACCTTAGTTTTTCATGTGATGCTATGTCAGAACATAGGATCAGCATATTTTAAACCGATTCTTAAATTTGTAATCCCACAGTGTATTTGTGTGAGACTGTCAGTCTGCGCTTGTACAGATAACTGGATTAACTCTCCCCTGACAGCTGGAGTACAACAGGGACGGAGAGAGAGAAACCAGAGAGAAATGAGGGAGGCGAGGACCTCATGCTTTACTTAGACTATATAAAAAAGCCGTTTATTAGACTTCAAAAAGGAAGAAAAAAGTTTGCACGGCTTTTAAGTAAATTCTGCTTAATTCAAGCAAATGTTAGATCATTTCAAAAGTTAAAAAGAGTTCTTTGCAAATTGGTCCTTTTAATTTAAACTACTGTTCGATTGTTTGTGGTTAGTTATATATTTTTTTCTTTTATTCAGAAAGGATGCATTAAATTAATCAAAAGTGCAAGTAAAGACTTGCATTGTTATAAAAATCTATTTCAAATAAATGTTAAACTTTTTGTTCATGAAAGAATCCTGAAAATGTTACAGTAAGCAGCACAACTGCTTTCAACTAATGATAATGATGAAATATGTTTCTTGAGCACCAAATGAGCATATTAGAATGATTTCTGACAGATCATGTGACACTGAAAACAGGCAAATCATCAGCTTTGTCATTAGAAGGATGAATTACACTTTACAATACATTAAAACAAATAAAAAATATTACAGTTTTGAATGTATTTTGATCAAATAAATGCAGCCTTGGTGAGCATAAGAGACTTCTTTCAAAAACATTAAACAAATTATACTCCATCCAAACTTTTGAACTGTAGTGTACATAGTTTTGAATTGTCCAAAATGATGTACTTAATTCTGCATTGTCTTTAAGAAAATTACATGTTACGGAGAGCCGAGTGCTTAAGTTTAAAACTTTTTACCCTTTACAGACCCAGGTTGTTTTCTGTAACATATCTAATAACTATCATTTTGAACATCACTCAAAAATTTTAATTCTGTCATTTACTCACTCTCATGTGACAGAGTTTTCATGTTTGGATGAACTGTTCCTTTTAGCTACCATGACTGCATCATTTAATGCTTAACAGATCATTGAGAATGTTAGAAATTAGTTAGAAATGTACTGTAATGAACATTGATTGAACTAACAGGTCTGTCTGTTAACGTTTTTTGCACATAGCATTGGACAGAAGTTGAAAGTTTTGTACTGTAGCACAGGCCACACAATTGTAGCACAAATATTAAAAGCGTGTTACATCTCTAAAAACAACTACAAGTAGTGCAGTTCATCACTTAAACAGGCATGTGACTGGCAAAGGACATTAATGTTGCATGCAGGACACACAAAATCCAACCCCCTTAATGTTTTCAGACAAACATTCTCTTTATTTGCCCAAAGTGGCAGGAACATAACACCTCTTGCTTAATTTTGTTTATATAGCCAAATATCACAATCCACAATCCATTTACACTTCAACAACATTGCACTCCAAATTAGCAGGACAGATCTGTGGGTCTGCGAGGAGACATTACTTTAAATAACTCTTTTACCAATGGAATTGGGTGTATGGACTCAATACAGCCGAGACATGATTTTTGAATCATACAATAGAGTACATCTACCAAGTAAATTAGTGGTGCACCACTGATTAACCTCACACTCAAACAAGCACACAACAAACTCTCGCTTCACACAAACAAGTGACCTTGCCTCGAACACATGCAAAACTGTATTGCACGTTAGCTACAGTGATACATTTATTCCTTAAACAGTCGCACTGTACATCACTGAGTATTTCTTGAACATAGTTTTTTTTTAGAAATTAAAATTTAAGGCACTGCATAAAAAAAGTTCTCAAAAATGTTATTGCCTGGCTACAGTAAGACTACACAATTTAATGAAGCCACTTTAGAGAACCAGGAAATCTGCAGTGTATCTTTAAATAAATAAATTTACATGTATGTAAATGTATGTAAATGCAAATATTTTTAGCTACACAAGCTTCACAAGATTTTGTGCGTTTATTGTGAAATGTTTAAGACTGCAATTCATAGTGCAAAAATTGTGTGTTGTATTCTCAACATTGCCTTCATGGGCGCTACAGCAGGTTTTAGCATCATCAGTGTCTACGGTCAGTTTTCTCTTTGAGTTAGCTACAGCTAACGGGTCTCATTCACATATCATAAAAACAGTTCATTATTTTATATTTGTATGCACAAGAGAACTTCTCACGAAAAATATTCACAAAATTCACAACACGTGTGTATGCACGTGATTTTGTTCCTAATGAACATTCATTCTAATGTTAATGATTTTAGAGTATTCTAAAAGAGTGGCCTCATGCCCAAGGTTAATAATTTGCACAAAACACACCCAAACCACAACTTCTCCTTTACAGCCTTTGTCACAGCAGCGAACATGACGCAAAAAAAAATAATATAATTTTTTAATCTTTAGTGTTTTTCAGTGCAGGCCTATCTGAATGCAACTAACTTTCTTTTCAGAATAGTAGGCAAACATAAATATCTGCAATAATCAAGCAATTCTTTGAATCTTTTTTAACCAGGAATCATTTTACAGTGTACATTTGGCTGTCTGTCAACCTGTGCTCTTGTTCAGCTTACTAAAACTACATAAAACAGGAGCAGGGTGAGGTGGGGACGCAAGTTTTGGGACAACACCTGATTGCAGGAGCAGGAAACACACTTCAGAGCGGCTCCTGGAGGAGCACAAGGTGACTGTTCCCCGTTTAGCCCCAATTCTTAATTACCGCAGCACTGCTGAGACTCCCAAAGCCCAGAACCGGCCCTTATGGACCACTGGCATCCAGAACTTCATTTATATAAATCAGAGCTCTGCTGCGCTGCAGATATGACCTCCACAAGGGCTCTCAGCTGCGCTCCACAGCCACAAAAACCTGGATATATCCAGTTAATTCCGAGAAAGTACAAAACTGCGGTCTGGAAATGACACAGAATAAGATACGAAAGCCCAGGCGTGAATACCTCTCTCCTGTGGATATGCTGCCCATTATCATGCTGCTTTATAGATAATAACCAAAGAGGCCAATTCAGGCATCGGTGGGTGAGACCTTTTGTGTAATTATCCCACATTCGTGAGAGCGAGGGAACGAGGAACTTCTGCTTCGTTGTCCGGGGACTGCAAATCCTCCAGAGGGACAAATCACACAGGGGAAGACTCCGCCACACAATCATGTGATATTAATGAGAAGAGGACAGGGGAATTAATAGGTTGTGCCATAGCGAGGGGAAGACTTGGAAGAATTAGCAACCGAATATACCCACCGCCGTGCTTCCCAACGTCATTGGCGAACACTCTCCACCTGCTGCTAAGAGTGATGGGCCTGCTGCACTGCTGGTCTTACCTGCCTCACATTACTCACATCTTGAACCAGTAATTTAACACGCACAGATAATAACAAGGGACCACCGACTGCTGCCGCACACGGTGGCCACAGTGATTACTGCCTGAACACACACTCTCCCGGGATATCTGTTGCCAGCAAGGTGAATTAATTCTGCCTCTCCCTTACCTATCAACACATTCACACGTACACATACAAACACAAAACATGTAGACTCCCACAGAGACGAGCAGGACCTGAGCCTCCAGAAGCTGTCGAGCACTTAAAACAACTTCAAGGATACTTCTTCATGCACTACTAAAGTATGGAATAATGTCACTTCATCCTGGCTTCTTGGAATTCTGAAAGAGAGAGCAAAAGGAATCAATAAAAAGAATAAACACATACAAAGTATGTGAAAACAACACATTGAGAAGGACAAAAGTAATTTAGGACTAATGCTGATACACGCGTAATACATTCCCAATGGTGACGGAAAACAGCTCTTTTCATGAATAACCAGTTTCTGAGGAGGTGTTTTTGGTTTCGGGTGTTTATTAACTGTGGAGATTTCTCTGCCAAACAAATGTCCTTTATGTTCAGTGGGTTTTAAATGGATCCGTTTAAATGTTGTTACAGAGCTAGTTATTCTGGTTAATCAAACAGCCAATCATTTGGTGACAATAGCTTAACAAAAACATCATCATAAAAGAACATTATATAATTATATATTATTAAAGTAATATAATATGTACACATACATATATACATAGCCTAAACATACACTACCGATCATAAGTTTGGAGTCAGTCATGTTTTTAAAAAGTGTCTCATGCTCGCCAAGGCTGCATTTATTTAATCAAAAATACAGTAAAAACATTAATATTGTGAAATATTATTACAATTTAACTATATAACTGTTTTTTAACAATTAATTTAATGCTGAAAACAGTGATGCTACTTAATATTTTTTGTGGATTTTGTGGAATATTTTTTGAGGATGCTTTTATGAATAGAAAGTTCAAAAGAACAGTATTTATTTGAAATATAAACATTTTGTCACATTATAAATGGCTTTACGTTATTTTTTTCGCAATTTGATGCGTCCTTGGGGAATAAAACTTAATTAAAATGTTCTTTAAAAGGTTAATCTAAAAAAAATAAAAATCCTCATTACTTTAAAGAATTTTGTCCCACATTCAGTGAAAGTGGAGCTGTAAGGTCTCTGCTCAGCACACCTTCAAAAACTATGGAATGTTGGTCCCACCCTCTGTATCATCGATTGGTTCAAAGTTTTATGGACGCGCCCCCGTGTCCTCCGCCCTGCCCAGAAACGCACTCCGGTCACTCCTAATCAACACTGTCAACTATCAACGGCCGTGATTGAGAGCGTCCTGCGAATACAAACAATTGTCTCCTTATCCTTTCATGAAAAGTTTGGAGTTGTTGTCAAACTTGGACCTTATAAACCAGCACTGGATTTACATTTGAAGAAAAGGAAGTTATATTTATGCCAGCGTAAAGTGGAAAACTTAGCAGATCTTCACAAGGAAATACTAAACGTCACAAGGAATCGCAAGAATATCTCTATGAACTTGTCTCAAACGTCAACATGTGCTTTGTATCTTTATAAACTTAAGCATGCAACCTCCTGTTGCATTTAGTAAGCAGAACATGCGTCTTTCGCTTAGTGAAAGCATTCAGTGTTACTAAAATCCGGGATTTGTGTTTGTCCTCTCGCCTAGTAAAGTTCTGCAGCTGGGTTTGACTCGGAACTGAGTCTCATCTCAGTTTAAACACGTTTCATCAGCGACCCACAAGAGCTGGTCGACATCAGTCATGAATGTGCCATGGTGTTCTGGAGTTTGCGCTATGATGAGACTTCTGGCGCTGTTTATACACGTTATGTCAACGACAGCAAAGAGACACGTTGTATATTGGAACTCTACAAATACACGGTAAGATCACAATTACTTTTAATTCATACTCATCGTGTTGACTGTTTCCAATTAACCTTATTACGCAGGATTGCGGCTGCGTTCCCTGTGCGTAATTCAGTGCGCGGCGCTCTTCGGGAGCTCAGCCCAGTGAATGTGAAGTGACTAAGCCCAAAAACGCTCCCAGATTTGTGTTGCTTCATGTCTGCAGACTGAAACACACCTGCACCTATTAAAGGGTTTAAGTGTGGTAACGTGTCCTCCCATGCCTCACTGTTTCCACCAGTCAAACTTTGATCTATTTATCCATAAAGGTACACTCAGTCATTTTTGATAATTAAAGTTTTATGCCTAAAGAAAAAATGACTAGTGTTTTATAAGTATTATGTAAATAATGGGCACTCACATGAGATGAAGATTAAGAAAAACAGCTGTTTTATGCCATTTTGAAATAATTATTATATTTATAACTAATAATAACAACAGTACGTTTAATTTATATAGATTTTCATGGACGCTTTTCTATTCCATGAGGCCATAGGTCATATTTGTTAATGACAGGGAACTGTGATGCAGCTGATGTTGTAGGTCAGATGTAGTAAGTCTAGTTTGTATTAATACTTCATGCATACTTAACATACTTTTAGTTTTAATATTGACGTTAGGGTTGTTGTTATTGTTAACTAAAATTAATAAAAATTGTTTTCATCAATTGAAATAAAGCTCAAATAAAATGCAAATATTAGATTAAAAAAAGATAAGCTTAAAAAATGTAAATGTTGCCTTGGCAACTACCTGAAATAAAACTGAAAAAAGTTTATTTGAAATTACTAAAGCGAAAATGAATATAAAAGCTAAATAAAAATGACAAAAGAACATAATATTTCTAAAATTTAAACTAAAATGAAAACTGAAAATATAAAAATATAAGCTAAAATAGTATATAAATAATACTTAACACTGCTGATTTCAGAGGCTGCTAATTGGATCCAGAATCTAAGAATGTCCATTATATGGATGTTTGCAGAATGAGACTGAGGAAAACAAACAAAGAGGATCAAAACAAAAGATAAAAAAACAAACAGCTTCAGTGTGAAGCGGCTGCAGTTAGTAATTATCTTGTGTATCTGTGTTCCAAATTCATTAATTGGGATCAGGGGTCAGAGCTTTTGTATCTGTTAAATAAATGGGGGAATCAACTGTATGCTGTAAAATCCAATGGCCTTCCGCTCCTTACAGTCTGGTGAACAATTTCTCTAGGTTTGATCAATTAGTGCTGAATGTAGCACTACTTAAATGAATCAATGTTAATGATGTGTGCATATCAGCTCTCTTCCTGTAGTGCCACAGATCTGTCCTCTGTCTTGCTCTGTAATGGTTTAATTGGTGTCATTTGTCAAACTGATGGCACGCTCACCTGCCACTCCAGGTGTTATCTCGGTCTGGATTGGCTGTTCAGTTTAGGACAGCCTGGAGGGCCAGCTGTGCTCCGCCCATCTTTGGAATGTCTCGGAGATGGGAAGCCATCAACAGCCAGCAACAGGCCTCATGTAGTGACACGCAAATCGTTAAAATGCTTGAAACTAGTTCTTTTGTCACAGCTCATTAATTAATTGAAAAAGATGGCTTTTTAAGGTTTTACAGATTTGTTGATTGGCTTTCAGTTTATTATTCATATGACAGAGATGAGAGATTAATTTTCTCTTAGCTTGTGGGCTCACTGACAATGTTTGCATGCTAACACATACACAAATCTACACTTGAATTCAGCATAGTCATGTTTAGTCTTGTTATGCAGTGATGTGGTTTATTAACATATTTAGACAAAGGCATCTGCAGACTAAACTTCAACTCCTTTGCTTCACGCTTCTCCAGTGCTGCAAACAATGAACACATTGCACAGACATTGATTTGCTGTTTACACCAAATAGTGCAATATAACCAGATTAATGAGGCTCGGTTTTTGGAGACATGAGTGCTGCAAGGTAGTCATGTTTAGCTTGCAGTGTTTCATCACATCAATACTTTGGACAGAGTTGGAGAAAGACTTCTCCTTAATCTCCACTCCTGCCTTTCAGTTGTAACTGAGCTGTGAACTGCTGTGAGAAACTTGTTGCTTTTCGTTTATCAGCTGACGTTTTAGATGACCTGCCAGGTAGATAAAGCTTATAACGTGTGCTTCGCTCTTATCTGTCACGCTCTCTCAGCTCACCCCTTTATTTCCTCATGCTTTCTTACCAACTTAACCAAAAAGTTTGAAACCTGATGCAATGGATGAGTGTGAACATACAGTGGAGCTTTCTGACTTAACTCACACACACAAACAGTCAGAGCTTCTTCTTTTTTTCTTCTCATAAAAATGAAACTTCACACACTTTTATCGTTCCAAACCTGTATGACTTTTCTTCTGTGGAACACATAAAGAGATTCTGAAGACAATGCTAAAAATTACTAAAACTGAATAGAAATATAAAAAAATAACAAAAGTAAAAAGTAAATACTATAATCGTATATACATAATACTGAACTTCTTACACTCTACTAGGCCATTAATGGTTGTGACCGAATTGAGTCAGTGAGTTGAGCTCAAGGACCATGAACAAATCATTCACACTGGGTTTGTGAACTGGATCAGATCCAGCTTAAAAAGAATTATTTGTTCATAAATTGGGATTCAAAATGAGATTTTCACAAAATAAATAATTTTTAATCAATGTTTGCCGTATGGATTATGGCTTCAGAAGATTTAAAATATAGAGCCTGGACCACTTTTATGATGCTTTTTCTGCCTTTTTGAAGCTTGAAACCTTCATTTTACACCCATTCTAACTGCATGGAAAAGAGTGACCAGTGCATTCTCCAGAATATCTCCAGGACAGAAAGTCATACAGGTTTGGAATGACATGAGGGTGAGTATATGACGACAAGAGCTTCATTTTTTGGTGAACTAGGCCTAGTCTTTATAGGCACAAGCTCGAAAGGCAACGGTTTTAAGTACGTCAGTGATATTAAACCTCTAAATTTTCCAAATTCAACATTTTATATCTGTCTGTGTTCATCTCTCATGTGTGTGTGTGAGTCACTTACTCAGCAAGTTTGAACACATTTCTAATACTCTTGAAATTCCAAGTGCCTCTTTCTCAACAACTCCCTTTTACCTCTCATGGCTACGTGTTTCCGAACAGGATGCAAAAAACAGTATTTTTTTAATTGCTCAATTTTAAATAAACCATCAATTAATACCCAAGGAACTTTGAATAATTTCACTCGCATTTGTGCGTAATAGTGGATTGTGTGTTCGCATGAGTGTTAATTCATGCATGCAAGCACATCAACCCCCCATACACACACTCCAAATACAATGTAGTATGTTTTCTCGTAGTTTCAACAGCGAGAGGCGGGATCAGACATCTCAGGCAGCACAGGGGCGGACACACCCAAGCGCATGCAAATTTAAATTAAGGCTTGAAGATCAACTATAATTTTGCTCAATCAGGGCTGCCGTGATTGGACCCCTAAGCACGTCTCGTGCTTGGCGAGGACTTCCACAATTTTCGGATAATCTCCCTACTACTTCTATAAATCATTAGCTACGAGAACCTGTGAACTGTAATCAACAAACCTACTCAGAAATAATTACACTCAGGCTCGCATTCAAAAGGAAGTAAGAAAGTGAACTCCCTGCTGCTTTTGCTCTCGCGCTGGTTATTATGTGGTTGACTATAGCTTAATGCATCATAGTGGATTGTATAATTATCCATATGAATGGAACTATATTTACTTCATGCTTGTTTTTGTCTGTCCTGCCCAGCGTCTGCCCGTAACATTCAGCAATCTGCAGCACATTGTCATGAACGGCCATTTCCCGATAATGTAGATGACCTAAGAACTAGTTAGGTCGCATAAATCAAAACAAAATGTTTCTAAGACAGGAAATATTCCTCAACTTTGGACTCGACAACCTCAACTATGTCCTTATCACATTTTTTCTGCTGTGTAACTATGAAATATGTTCAGAGAAACTTACCCTAGTAAAGCTAGATATAGTCTCTGCTTTTAATTCCCATATAACATTTTCCTTTCTTTGTATTGCAATATTTTCCTTGGCTTACATATGTGATTGAAAACTTACTTTTGAAATTGCTCAATTTGTAACTGTGCATCTTTCTGGATATGTTCCTCTTTCCTCAGTGGTTTCCTATCAATCTGTAAAGGCCACCTGGCCCAGTGGGCATGAAGAGATTTTGGAGGTTCATAGAGGGACTTTACAGTCAGACTATGGCTTGTTCCCGATTCCCAGTCGATATAAGTTTATGGACTAAGCATGAAACGGATATAATCTTATAAAACGGGTCTTGAGCGGTGGAATTTGGCCAGACCTGGTAGGGATAACCTTTCAATCTACCTTGAAGAAAGTCATATTCTGTCGCCTGTTTAATATTATAATTTAGTGATTATATGAGTTTCAGATTTCTCTGTGTGATTGCACAGGGCCGGCTTCCCAGCCGTCCCACTGCATATGGCGAAGAGAGAGTTTCCATATTTTCTCCCTTCCCTGGATATTTGGCTAATACCCACTGTACAGGTGTTATCAGCAAGTACACTCCATTATCTCACACCTCCACATTGGCCAATAGCGCTTCTCTCAGCATGACCACATCAATATCACTCACTAGTTCGCTATCCTTTGCATGGCTGGTTTTGTGCACACATGCATGTGCATACATGCGCCGTTGCGTTATTAGAGGCTGGGTATGTTGCCAGTCTGTATGCCAGCTGGTGGCCTGAATGTGTCTTTTGGAAGATAAAATGAAGTTTTAAGTGCAATGTGTAAATTCATTTTCTTGGTGTCTAAAGAAATTGACTGTTATTTATTAAAGAAGTTTTGGAGCAACAAGCAACTTACAAGCAAATTGTGTACCAATGCCAAGACAAAACAAGCCATTGTCTCCAAAAATGAAACCTTTTGGAGCTACTGTAATGAACTTTTGTAGTTGCCAAATTAGAGAACTGCTTGATAT